CCGCCGCCCGGGACGCTCGCCCTCCGCCGCCGCCGCGCCCCCGATCCCGCTCGTCCGCGTGTCAAGGGCCTTGGGGTTGCCTGGCCCTTAGGCCGGGCCCTCGCCTAGCCCAGGACCGCGGAAAAGGGCTGCTCAAAAAGGTCTAGTACCTAATGAGCACCCATCCTTACACCACACGAGCAGTGCTTTGGTCCAAATTGAGAGCCCCTTTTCAGCCAAAACAGCCGTTTTTCATTGTTAGGGCTTTCTCTTGTCTGAGAAGCCGATCACTCCCCAAACTGGGAAGCTGTCTTCTTGCAAACTGAATGTCCTCTTTACTTTCGTAATGAAATCCAGTTGCTCTCCTGGCTTTTCTTCTGAACCTCTCCAGAGTATTAAGGTCTAGAGTTTAAAATCAATTCACTTTAAGTGCCAGAATTCTTGTTTCTGGAAAGCACCTGGAACATTAATGACAATTCCAATTCCCCATCCATCCTCCCACTCCCACCCCCCCCCCAAAAAAGAATCTGTTGGGAATGAGTGATCTGCACAGAGACACTGAAATTTAGTCAAGGAGGGAAAAGCACTTAGGCAACGCCTGCTATTGAGTTAAGTGCTCAACATTGATGGCAGTAGGTACCCCCTGGACAGACCTGGTCACTCCTGGGATCCTGTAGCTGCATTCAGTTTCAAAGCCTGGACCACCAGCAGAAAAATAGAGAAATAGCCCAATGACCTGCCCACCTGAACATTCTCAAATGACCTGCCTAAATGTCAGTTAAAAAAAATAAACTTATAAAATCTTGTTATATCCCTTAATCACATTTGTGAATGGTGGTGGGGGGCAGTTTTTACATGTCTCTAGTGAACTGCCCTATTTAAGTCAGAATACAACCTATTCTGCCTACTTTGAAAATGTTTGTCACTGTGTTCGCTTTGGACTCTGAACTATTTCTTTCTTGCTCTTTAACTTCAGGTCCTCTTTGGCCCACAGGTGAAGGAAAGAAAATTCATCTCATGCTTTATGAAAGAATACTTTCTATTCCAATTCCTTTTGGTGATGAGGAAATACATGAAAGCACAGAGCCTGGGTGAAATAATTTATTAGATTCCTTTCCATTTATTATTAATTTGTTTTTCTTTATATATGTTATTTATCTATTTCACTAATATTATATTTTATCTGCACAGGGCATAAAAAGGCACAGGCCCTGTCAGAAAACTTTTCTCACAAGTTCAACTAATGTATAGCAGTATAAAAGTTAGATATGCCCTTTCTGTTCCTTGTATTCCCTCTGAGAATTTAGATGCTGAGGTAATAGCATCTTTAAATAAATCTCATGAGAGAAATAATATGTGTACTATAGATTACTGCTCAAAATATATCAGCATATTCTTAAGTGAGTAGGGTAAGTGAGGCACTTATTTCTTCCGGGAGTCAAGAGGATTCCTCTAAGGATTCCATTCAGTCCATCCCATTCAGCACTCCCCGCCTGCTGACACCTGGAGAGAGATAGCCTACAATGAGATTTATACCAGGTTCCTGGATCACCGAGCATCTGCCAGAGTGCCAGACACATCAGTACTTGCTGAGATGTAATTAGTACCAGCCAGCCAAGCACACAAGAGAGCCAGAGGTTGGGTAGGACCTTGCAAAGTGGGTCTCAAACTTTAGTGTGCAAAAACATCACTTGGGGTGTCTACTGAAAAGATAGATTCTTGGGCCTCATACCAGAAATTTTTAATATGCTAGGTCCAGAGAGGTCTGGGAGCCTGCTTTTTAAAATGTATCATAGATGGTTCTGATGCAGATAGTATGCAGACTTTGCTTTAAGAAATCTGACCTAGAGGTATCCTGAGATAATCACATCCTTTTCTAGACGCTTCATAACTTTAAACCATTTGATCATATCTGTTCTCATCTGTATTAGTTTGCTAGAGCTGCCATGACAGAGTACCATAGACTGGGTGGCTTAATCAATAGAAATTTATTTTCTCACAGTTCTGGAGGCTAAAAGTCTGAGATCAAGGTGTCTGCAGGGTTGGTTTCTGCCAAGGTCGCTCTTCTTGTCTTGTAGATGGCTGCCTTCTCCCTGTGTCTTCACATGTCTTTTCTGTGAGTACATGTGTCTGGTGTCTGTCTTTGTTTGTCTCCCAATCTCTTATAAGGACACCAGTCACATTGGATTAGGGCCCACCCTAAAGATCCCATTTTAACTTAATTACCTCTTTAAAGGCCCTATCTCCAAATGCAGTCACATTTTGAGGTACCGAGGATTAGGGATTCAATATGTGAATTTTAGGGGGACACAATTCAGCCATAACATCATCCTTCTGCTGTTTACACTGCAGAATTGTGCCAGTGCAGTAGCTCTTATGGAAGGGATATGGAAGTTGATTATTTCAGCTGTTCTGCTCTTGACTGGCTCCAACATCATTAGACTTTTCTTGAAGATAAGCAAACAGAGCAATATGTCGTGTTCCAAATGTAGATATGCCCTATTTTTGTGTGTTTTCTTTTTCTTTTTTTTTTTGTTTTGCCCAGGGTGAATGAAGGGGCTTATCTTTTTAACTTTCTTAACCACAGCTGCACTCTCAGTGTCAAGATAACTCAGTCCCTACAATGGAGAAGAAACTGCCTTTGGGCTGACTTCTTTAGGGAACAATTTCAGATGATGTTTATGTTTATTTCTTGTATTTCAGACTTCATTTTAGATATGTATTTTGTATTCTTCCACATTACATATAATACCTTCCTCTTGCCTGTACTTCTTTTTTTACCCTGCCACCTTTCAACCCGCTTAGGTAGCCTCCTGAGATTTTTCTGTAGCTTATTTCCACCACGTCACAGGCAGACAGATATATAAATGCTTTGAATGATTGTAACAGGAAGTTTGAGAAGGCCAGTTCTTCAGGGTACACAGATTTGTTGAAAGTGAGGACCTTCTTCAATAACTAATTAGCTTCCAGTCCCCCATCCTGCTACCTTAGAGCCATGTTCATCAAAACACAAACATTAATTAAGTCAAGAATTTCAGAGCCTTCATATACACCCCAATAGGAGTACAGGGAAAACAAACAGACCCCACTCTATAGCCACAGGTGTTATAGTTTCAGTTTCAAAAGCCCACATTTGAACCACAAGAGGATGGTCTTTTGAAAGAGAAATATGACTTCTCATGTTTCCGAGAGTCTCCAGACATGTTAAAACAATCTAACCACCACACCTTAGAAGGTTTAATTCCACCCATCTGGTCCACATACACACAACAAATTAACTTATAACCAGGGAGGGGCTCCCTTGGGCAGAAGAATCCCCTGGGGCCCTCTCTTTTTCCTAGTGGCAATTATAAAAACGTTTCATCTACCTGTGCAGGTTTCTGTACGGAAAGCTCCAATGAACTATTTCCTCTCTGGGGGAAACTCCATCAGCAGTGTTGTAAATGTGCAATGACTTGGCACAGGCCTTCCACATCACTAGAAATAGTTGCAACCTAGAAATTAGGCTATTTCGTCCTTGTGCAACATCATAGAGTGTACTTGTAGCCTACTACACATCTAGGCTATATGTACTAGGCTATACCCTACTACACACCTAGGCTATATGGTACTAATCTTATGGGACCACCGTGCCATATGTGGTTTGTCATTGAATGAAACATCGTTATGTGGTGCATGATTGTATATAAAATATATTAGGGCTTATAACCTTAAAATTTTTTAGACAAAGTGGGTCAAATCATCAAGACTTGACTGCAGATTTATTTAAGCCATTTCAGCAACTTTTTATTAACAAGGTTGACCCTAAACAATATTGTGAAGCAAACAGTTCTCTCTTCTTTGTGCCCCTTTTCTCTTTAACAAATTCCCCTCCCCACCCCCCGCTTTTTTTTTTGGTGAGGAAGATCAGCCCTGAGCTAACATCCGATGCCAATCTTCCTCTTTTTTGCTGAGGAAGATTGGCCCTGGGCTAACGTCCGTGCCCATCTTCCTCTACTTTATATGGGATGCCGCCACAGCATGGGTCGACAAGCGGTGTGTCGGTGCACGCCTGGGATCTGAACCCGCGAACCCCGGGCCGCAGCAGCAGAGCGTGTGCACTTAACCGCTTGCACCACCGGGCCAGCGCCCCCCTTTTCCCTTCTTAATGATAAAATGATCCCCAGTTTCCAAAGGGCACTGAAGACCCCACCTATGACCCCCACTCTCCCAATAGACAACACTCTAAGCTAGAACCTTCTTTCTCACCTGTCCAACATTGCATTTCCCTGGCTCAGCCCTGTCTTTCCTGCCTAGTGTGGTAAACTAATTCATGCTGAGGTGCTTATGGCTACAAACAAACCGTGTTCCCT